GTTCTCCTGCAAGGCAAAATCTCACATACTTCCTTGTAAGTAAGAACACAAATAGTTTACAAACTGGATTAATTTTATGAGTAGGAAACATTTCAACCAATGAGTATAAATACTCATCTATTTAATAGCATATATGATGCAACAAATTTAGCATAATTTTATAATATTGTGAGATTATAATCCAAATTATTTTAAATGACAATTATATTATCCAAATTTTTGTCTCAATCTTTGAGAGTTCCAGGGATCCTACTAGAACCCTCAAAGTCATGAGACTTGGTTTCAAACTGAAGAATTTAGAGGTGTAAATTAGTTAAACAAAAAGTACATTTAACATTTAACATTTAACTGAACATGTTAATGAATATTGTATTTTAGACCTGATAAGTGCCAGAACACTGCAAGCTGAAGACTAAGCAACAAGAAAATGTTATAAGAACCTTTTCCCAGTGGAGGTGGGGAGTCTGGTCTGGTCAAGTCCTGTTAGATAAGTTAGACCTTTTTTTTTTTTTTTTTTTTTTTTTTATATATATTATATACCAGGAGAGAGAAAAGGGGGTTAGTCATGGTCCGTCCCATCTCGTCTGTCAGTCAGTCACACACTTACCCAATTCACAACAAGGACAATAACTTAACAATTCAAGACAAAGATACAACTGGTTAAAGAGTATTAAAACAAAATCTAGTTTTTGTCCGGACAAAAATAATAGAACACCAACAATAAAGACTAAACAAACATATGCACAATCACTAAACACATCAAAACAAAGACATACAACTCTTAAACCTTTTGAGATTTCCAACCTCTTCTTCGACATACTTTAACCTAGACATATTTTGTAAAACAAGTACATAGTTTCATCTCATGCTTTAGGTTAATTTAACAGTGCATTTGGACCACTCTGTATACTTTTATATATAACTGCTAAATCAGGTTACAGAACAAGTTTCCGATTTTTTTTTTTTTTTAAAGAATGTTAATCGTTTATCTCTTACCTGGCTCCTCTCAGCTAGGGGTTAGGCTATGAGGTGGAGCTAGAGAAATTTAGTTCCTGAAGGTGACTGGGTGTGGTTAAGTCCAGAGAGACTGGGAGAGCAGATTAGGCCAAAGGTTAAAGCAGCTACAATGGAGAGGATATCTCTGTCTGCTACCCAGTGAGGAGAGCAAATGGAGACCTACAGACAAAGGGGGATGGGCTTGCCCTCATAGCAATGTTTGGGCCTAGATCATGAGGGGTGATAGGATTATAATCCAACCTTGTTATTCCTGAGCCAATTCTGGGAGCAAATTTACAACATTAAGGCTGTTGGAGAACAGGTTAAAGGATTCTTCAACTTTTGAGAGAAGTTCTGCTGAAACTACAACAAATAGTTCCTTATACTGTGCTGATCCTTGACATGGCTCAAAATAGGTCAAATAGACAGGATTGGACAGAAAAACCTCTGCTCTGACCCCTTCCCTTCCTCCATCCTCATGGTTATTTGGTAAAAGGGCAGAATTTTCCCAATCTAAGTGATTGAAGGAGGTGACCCACTTATATGGCCCATAATGGTAGTCAATGGCGCTGAGATAACCTTCAAGGGAGGCTGCCAGCCTGTCTGTCATTCAAAATCACTCATTCGATAAGGGACAACAAGGTTTGCTGGTTCAAAGTCTTAACACCTAAGGGCTAGCTCTCTGACCTCCTGAATTAGATCTGCCAGTTGATAGGGGCAAGTATTAACTCTGGGTGCCTCTCCAACCGATCAATGGACCCACTGGAGGGGACTGCTCTCCTGGACAAGGGCAGCCATAAGCACGGAAGAATTTGAAAATGTCCTCACTTATAACTCTTTCTTAGAACAATAGTGAGCAAGTAGCCTTGTTCAGGGCCTCTCGAGTCTCCTGTAAGGCTTGTAGATGAGGGAAACTCAGTCTCCTAGCATTTTGCCTTTTCAAATAATGAAAGTAATTGTCCTGTATACATGGGTAGTCAATGGCATAGCCAACTGACCTCTCCAAGAAGCTTTTGAAAATCTACTAGTGAATATTATTCCTTAACGCTTAGCTAGGGTTTCAAAGGGGAGGCCTTTTCAAAACATAATACTGTCCCTAAAATCTTAAAAAGAGGGGGATCATTTGCACCTTCTCTGAGGAGACATTCATGTTAGCTCTCTCTAAAAGCTCTTTTACCTTTTCCCAGACTACTTGCACTTCCTGAGTTGTACAGGCTCCTAAAATATTATCCAAACTGCCGGGATACAGGGTTTATGGGAAAGACCCTAAAGACTAGTCTTGGCCCAGGGTGAGTTAGGCTCATTTCTGCCACAGCTTTCTTAAATCTCCTGCATTCCAGGGATATCACGCCGCTGGGCGGTTCCCTTCATGATTAACAATGGGAAAATCCTGGACTGGTTGGAGGAACCCCACTAGAAGGCTTGCACCTGGGGCTGTGCTCTCGACTCCCCTAGAACTGGGGGTGGTTTCCCGCCCTCTGAGCTTCCCAGAAGCTCTTGTTGGGGTGGCTAAGGTGCTTCAGGGCCAGTTTTGCTCTCCAGTTTCAAAGTATTACGGGCAAATAAATTAAGCAATGTTAACCAAGGTGCCAATCTGACAACAGTCCCTCAGACCTTGACTGCCTGAGCATCTGAGATTTCTAACCCTCAGAACTTCAGAATGTATGTTAGCGCCTTAAGCGTGGGATCATCAATTTCCCCACCATTATTGCCTATGGCTTAAGAAAGACAGCAGAGAGGAGAGTGGCACTCGGATACCCAGTCAGGCTGTCGGGCCCAGGGGATCACTTGCAGAGTTTCGGGTGACACCGAAGTGTTGCCTCGGCCAGAAACCGTCAGTCCTCAGACAGGTTCACGCCAGAGCCACGCATCCACAGCCATCTCTCAAGCAGAAGATGAGAGGATAGGAAAGAAGCCAATTGGACACCTAACACCTCCCTTCCCTTACAACCTCTCAGGGGATTCGACCGTAGCTACGCCGTGGCCGGGGGGGGGGGGTCCCCACGTTCGTGCAGAGCTGCGGGGTGCCAAGGGTCACTTCCACAGGGTACACTCCCGTTCGAGAGGAGGAATACTGTACCTAAGGTCACCTTCTTTTCTTTGAGGCTCACCTAGAGCCACCACTTCTGACAATTTGCTTCTCTTGGAAGATGCTGCGCTGAAGCTGTTTACCAGCCAAGTTTCTTTTCTCTTAACCCTAATTCTTCGTGCCTTGATGGCCTCCTTGAGGCCCTGTAAAAATAAGTCATGCTTATTTAATTCCTGTCCCATTTCGTCACGCCAATTTACCTCCGGATCAGCCTTCAGGTCGGGTGCTCCTGCGGCAATCACAATGCGAGCCTTCACTCACGAGACGCTTTCGCGGTGGCTCTATTCGAACCTTCACTCACTAGGCGCTCCCGCGGCTGCTCTACGCGAACCTTCACTCACCATTCACTCTCACGGCGGTTCAATGCGGACCTTCACTCACGATTCACTCTCGCGGCGGTCCAAGTGTCCACGGCCGTGGGAAGGCGGACGATCATCGGGGGGCCCGTACCCCAGGCCCCACGTTGGGCGCCAAGTGCCCCGGCCCGCGGGGTCTTCAACAGAGACCTGGGGAGAGAACCGACGATTGGGGGGGACAGGAGACACGAAGAATGGGAGCAAGACAGGAGGTCTGATCAAGCTCCGAAAACTTTATTTTCTCAGGCAGTATTTAAGCCGCAGGTAAAGGCTGGGTGGGGGGAGTTTTACAGCAGAATGTGGGCCAGATAGGGCAGAGGTCACCAGGACAACCGTTATCTTGGGTGAACAATTACAGGTGAAAGATTACGAGGAAACTGGGTGAAAGATAACTGGATCTAGCATTCCAAGACCATTACAAAATGAGGAAATAACAAAATGGAGTCACTCCTGCTGTTCGGCAGTTCTCTGGTCCCCGGCACACATGTGCCTGTATATCCACTGGAGTTTTGAGTTTTGCTTTTGATAGTCAAATGTAAATAAGAGATCCTGGACATAGATGCTAGAAAATTTGGGAATTTTAGGTGTATTGCTATGTAGTATTTGAAAGATGAATCTGAAATAAAACACGTTATGCCTTTTATACTTCTCAGGTACTATTTATGATGTATGTGAAAAATTCCCATCTTCTCACGGGACTGCTAAGCTTCAACACAATTGACACTTTGGCATGGATACCTAGGGGGCGGGGGTGCTCATTGCATGGGTAACCTTAGCCTCTGCCCAGTGGTGGCCAAGAACAGCTTGCTGTTCCAGGCAAATCAAAATATTTCTAGACATTCCTCCTGTCACCTGAGGTCAAAATCACCCTCAATTACAAACCACTATTTTAAATGGCAATACATGTGTAGTATTTTATGGATTTCCTTTTCTGAGTCTAGAGAAGCAGCACTTTGTCAGGAAGTTAACCCTTGGTCTCATTCATTATTTGTAGGACTTTGTGAAATGTGAGAATAAGAAGAATGCTACTCCCAGAAGTAATTTGGACTTCCCTGTTTCAGAGCATAGAAATTCTTCCATCAAAAAAGAACAGAAGGTTTGTCTTCATTGTCAAGAACATTTCTGTAACTTTAACTTATGTATATTTAAACCAGGAGATAAATAAAGATAGCAAATTCTGATCAGTACTTATCTAGAATGCCAGGTGTGCCCGGTATAACTCAGTTATCTTCCCTCTCCTGGGGGCTGTCTCTGCTTGGGAAGGAACCTAAAGCATTTGATCAATATGGGCACTGCTGATGTCATACGTGCCCGGTGAGGCTCCTCTTGCGTTTCTACACGAGAATTCATAACCTATCTGTGGCCTCTTTAATTCACCTGCAGCCATCACTTGTTTCCTCTGGCATTCCTCCTCAACAGTAACAAAAACTCTTCGTTTATTAGGTTTCCATACGTCCATCACCTAAGAAAACATACTCTTTACGGAGTCAGGCACCCACGATAGATGTAAACTTGACCACTAAGAAAAAAGAAGGAACATTTCAGAAATTTGGAGACTCCTTACAGCGTTCTCCAACAATTCTTCAGTCAAAAGGTTTGTAATGCATGGTGATCTTTCCATGAGATGTAGAGTACATTCTCATCTCTCATGAGCACATAGCCTCAACAGCTGCTTAGCGGATATCGCACTTTAAACAGGCCTGGTCCTGCATTGTGTACAATGAGAAGAAGTAGTTGAAATGATGAAATAGCCAGGTGTTTATATATGTATATCGTTTATCTTTTTGTTTCCTTTGCTATTGTTCCATGCATTTTTTAGGCATTTAATTTTTCCTGTTTGTGAATTCTCTGTTTATGTCCCAATACCAGTTCATATTATAGTATTTTTCTTTGAATTTGTATCTGTTGTTTCTTTATTAAGGACTTCAAGCTTTGCAATAACAAAATAATTTAATTCAGAAATTAATATTTTTATTTTATAGCAAAGAAGATCATTGAAACAATGAGCTCTTCAAACCTCTCAAATGTAGAGGCAAGTAAGGAAAATGTGTCGCGACCCAAACGAGCCAAACGGAAATTATACACAAATGAAATCTCCTCGCCTCTGGATATATCTGGCCAAGTGGTGAGCTGGCGTTTCACTTTTCATCAGTATAAACTTCCTGTTTTTTTGTTTTGTTTTCTCAAGAATTCCTAATGTTAGTGGTACTGATGATTTGAATCTCTACTGTGTAGACCATATTTCTTAAGACAGCCAGTGCTGGCGATGCACCTTTATCATAATGACACATAGACACCTCATCAGTGTAAACAAGTGTCAGGCTTTTTGTATTTGACAGTTTATCATAGGAATATATTTTCATTAGTAAAGTTGTTGCTATTTTGTAATTTTTTTGCATCTACCATTAATTTTTTTTATCTTTATCATGAACCTTGTATAAATGTGGGCCCAGATGCGCCTGGTAAGAAGATGCAGCTGACATGTGGCTGTGTCCTCGCACCCTGGCCGAGAGCCCTCCAGGTTCTGCTCGGGAGATGGTTGTCGCCCTCCTGTATGGCTCCTCCTCTTCACGCAGGACCTTCTGTCATTAGAAGGAATGCTCAAACTTTTCTGTAATTCTCTTGTTTGCTTAGTGGATGAAAGTAAAGGCAGAAAAGTAATTAAAGAATAAAAAATATTCAAAAGGAAGTGGTCAAGAAGAGCCAAGAGAGACTTTTTGTTTGTTTTTTTCTGCAGGAACTGCCAGATGTTAGATTGATGCTTGAAGACACAGAGTTAGAGTCACTTAGGACATTGGGGCTGTCCTGCTAGTTACCGTCTGTGCGATTAGTATGTAATTTCAGTTCTTGGCTGAGAGTTATTTCTTAGTGGCAGAATACTGTACTTTGTAAGTTACATACTCATTGCCACGGTGGAAGATCCATTTCTTAAAAATGATTTGAGACGGGCCCGGTGCGGTGGCGCAGTGGTTAAGGTCCTCGCCTTGCACGCCCGGGATCCCATATGGGCGCCGGTTCTATCCCGGCGGCCCCACTTCCCTTCCAGCTCCCTGCCTGTGGCCTGGGAAAGCAGTCGAGGACGGCCCAAAGCCTTGGGACCCTGCACCCACGTGGGAGACCCGGAAGAGGCTCCTGGCTTCGGGTCGGCATAGTATGGGCCCGTTGCGCTCACTTGGGGAGTGAATCATCGGACGGAAGATCTTCCTCTCTGTCTCTCCTCTCTGTATATCTGCCTTTCCAGTAAAAAATAATAAAAATAAATCTTAAAAAAAAATGATTTGAGGCAATTGCCTCCAACTTTCTGGTAATTGTTTCAAACTATCCATGTCTGGAATTTAATACAGATTGTAGGTTATTTTTTAATTTTAGAATTGTGCAGCTAGATATTTTACTAAATCGATTACTTTTTTAGGCATGCATTTTTATAGGAAATGGTTTGCCTCTGGTGTCTGAGGACAAAAAAATGCTTGTTTATGTTATTAATTAAGTGGATGAGCTTATCATCTGTTTCAAACTAGCTTTTTTTTGTTTTTCACTTACGTTTGCTGAGACTGTGAAATTACTGATTTCAGATTTTAATGGACCAAGGATTGAAGAAAAGTGACTACCAGATTCTAAAGCGAAGACTTCGAGCAAAAATGGAGAAATGAATGGTTCATGGAGGAGCTCATTGTCAGCCCTACTTTATAAAGATAACTGTATTGGTTCCTTAAATACCTCTGTATAGAGATTACTGATGGCTGCCCAGGGCACTGGAGGCTAGGGGCGGGTCTGCCCCGCCCCACAGGAGGAGGGGCCACAGGAGCCGGTTACGTCACCTACCTGGCGGGATTCCAGTTGGCCAATGGCACACCTGAATGGACATTCCTTGCATAGTTGGGACACGAACAGCCCCTTTGCCCTCCCACGTGTGTAGATGGGTATAAAACTCCCAGACACGTATCTCAGACGCCCTTTTCGCTTCCCTCTTCCTTCCCTTCTGCGCGAGGGGGCCCAGGAGCGGATTTTCCAATAAAGCTTCCATCTCAACTCTGAACAACTTGCCGATATTATTTCACCAAGCAGGCGGTCGGTCGGTGGACATTATCTAACATTTGGTGCCGGGAACCCGGGAAGGGATGCGTGGGCTCCCTAAACTGGTTGAGCTCCCCCCTTCCTCTCTCCACCTCTAAGCCGCCAGCCCCAAGGCCTTTGCCGGCTGCGAAGCGACAGACGTGAGGTAAGCCCCTCCGCCCTGCTCCTCCTGTCCCAAAAAGTACTCCCCCAACCTCCTGCAGACCCCCCAAACCGTGTACACGTGGTCTGCCTGTCCTGAGCCCTCAGCGAGACGGGGGACGCCCTGGTCGTTGACCGGCTCCCACCTATCCAGGGCCCTCAGTGGGTTGGGAGACGTCCCCCCTACTGACTGGCCCTCCTTAACGGGGAACCAGGTTCCCCTCTAGTCTAAATTTCAAAGCGGGGACGCCTTCTTTGTGTTTAGATTAGCCGTGAGATACTTTATTGGGACAGGATGGGCAACGAAATGTCCCGAGCTCATGGCCCCCAACCCCCTTAAGCTGTTTATTGGCCAATTTTAAAACCATGGGTCTGGGCCTGGACTTACGCAGAAAATGCCTTGTCCATTTTTCAACCGTGGCCTGGCCACAGTACGTGTTGGAAAAGGCTCCAAATGGCCAGCGGAAGGCACGTTTGATTTTCAGATCCTCACGGAATTTGGTAATTTCTGTCCTCGCGAGGGTAAATGGTCTTAAGTTTGTTATGTGGAAGCTTTTTGGAGACTCCGTTCCTGCCCTTCCCTATGTTCCTCCTGTTCCACGACTCAGGTTCTCCTGGCCAAGGCTAAGCCCTCCCACTCTCCCAAGGATCTCTTAGACTTTTCACCTAACCATACCTTTTCTGAGCCGCCAGAACTTTTAGGACTCCACCCAGCCCCCACTTCTTCCCCACCTGCTTCTCTGCCAGCCTCTTTACCTGCACTTTCGCCTCTCTCGGAGCCTTTGGCCCATCCACCTTGTACGTTACTCCTCCAGTCCCTGTGCCATGTTCCCCAAGGTCACCTCCTCTTTGGTCACCTCTTCTACGCCCCCAGTCCTTCTGTAATGTTTCCAGACTCCTTCACTTACTGAATAGCCACTGGATTCCAGTGTCACTTTTGCTTCACCTTCTGTTTCTCTGCTATGTTCCCACCCCTCCCTTATTCTATCTACTCCCATATCTTGCCCCACCTAATTCCACCTAACCCCATCATTCTCTTTGTTCCTCCTTTTTCCCTCTGTGTGGACATCCTTGCTGCACAGAAGGTCCCTATCCTTGCCCAAGGACCTCTCTGACCTCTACCTCACATTTTCCCCAACTCGCCTTTCCCCAGTTCGTTCTCCCCCACTCAGAACCTTCTTCCTTCGGATCCTTCACTTCCTGCGCAGGTACCATGTTCCCAAGCCCCCTCTCTCCACTTCCTGTTCTGACGCCATCTTCCCAGCTCCCCTCCCACTCCTCCATGTGGTAGGACCCCATCCACCATTTTGCCTTTCTCCTCCACCTGATGGGACCCTGTCCACCATCTTGCCTTCCTTCATGTGGCAGGACCCTGTCTGCCATCTTGCCTTTCTCCATTCTCACCCTCAACCTAACCTGCTCTCCCTCTTTGGTTCTTCTGACTTAACCCCAATAATGCCTGATTCCCTGCTGCTGCTGCAGCAACTGCTTTTAACTCTTTTTCCTTTTGTCATCCCCACCCCCACCCCTTATCTAAGATGGGTGGGATAAAAAGATAAGCTAATTAACATCTACCAAAAGAACAAAACTGTAATTTGCTAAGTTGTTCTGTAACTTAATTTAACATTTGTATATCAAAATAACCCAGTATAGAGTTGCTCTAATCCACTGCTAAGTTATTCCAAGCCATGAGGTAAACTCACGTGCTCTTACCAATTGTTTTACAGAGTATTTCCAGGTTAAAGCATGTCGTAGAAGGAATGGGAAGTCATGAAAGTTTTGAGAGGAATACATCTTGTATGGTTTATGTGCAATGTAATTTATCATTGTCCTTTAAATTGCCTATAGCATTTTTCTAAATATTTATCACTGATATTATTGCTTTTTCTAATGTGCAATTTAAGCTAATTATAAACCTGTGCTTGTTTCAAATTTGTAGCCGACATCAGACTTTTGGCAAATGCTTTCTAGAACTTCTATTTGAGAGTTTTTACTTGACAATGGTAATTAATCTGGTGCTTCCAACTACTTTCTTCATCTCTCTCTCTCTCTCTCTTTCTCTGACACTGAGGGACTCAGGCTGCACAGTTTGATTTCCAGACCCTTTAAGGGGATGGCTAACTTGTCAGACCAAGCAGCCTAATTATCTTCTCATAGGCATTACCCTAAAACTATCAGGACTATGCCTGTAACTACAGATTCCTAGATCAGTCCATTAAGGCATTCAGGGATAGAATTGAGCATCCCTTTGGCTGACATCCCGTGGTTGCCTCTGTGGCCCACTTTAACCAGGGCCCAGAGGAAGAGTAGTGAGCTAGGCATCAGGAGGCTCATTAATGCGGCTTTATACAGTAACCTGTTCTCTAGGAGACCCAGTAAGGCTAGTCTACCCTCAAGTAGCACCTGCTTGTGATATGGGAAGCCAGAATATTGGGCAACCAGCTGCAGTGATAGAAGTGGCTTTCAAAGAGTCTTGTTAGCTCTGCCAAGAGCCAGGCCACTAGAAATGGGACTGCCCTGGGGGTCAAAGTATTCCTGGGTCAGAACCATGGTGGGCCACAAGCTAGAAAGCCCTTCACTCTGCCCAGCTCCCAAAGCATCCATCGCTATGGAGGGATGGCCTGGGGTCAGCAACATCACAGGTAAAGCTGTATATTCTGTCCAGAGACACCATCTGTTCTGTACCAACCTCTCTTCAGGCCAGCTCTCCTCTCTGTCCAGCCAGGTAATGGGAGTCAATGGGATGTCTCCACAGTTTCACACTTCCTTTATGATGTCTCTTCCAGTACTCTATGTGAAGAGATGGATGGTCCTGACCTTACCTGAAACTCCAGAGTTCGTGTATGTAATACCTTAGAAACGGTTTTTACTAGCTAGCACTGTAACCTTGAAGGCCACTGTCTACTGGAGCCCTGGCCTCACCATAGGCCCTGACTTAGCTCCTGCTAGCAGCCAGAGTCCCCATGAGCAGAGGGAGGGAAAGAATACAAGATTAGAAGCAGGCCAGACTATACATCCTGTCTTGTTTCTCAAGGTCTCACTAGATAATTTTAACCAGCTGTCATACATGTTCCTGCCTAAGCCTCCCCACTAATTCCATACAACATAAAGCCGCGATATCGGGGCTGAGTAAAAGTGTTCCCAGTTCTTTGCCTAAGTCAAATGGACTCTCCATCCAAGAATGGCCAGAATGTGGAATCTGCACAGAAGGTCAACACCTGCCGTGATGATCCATGCATCACCATAGAGGCACCCCAAAGAAGCTCCTCAAGACCAACCCTCAGAGACTACATATTCCAGTGAGCTTCAGGAGGAAATCAAGCCATCATTTTGATAAGTAACCCCTCCCTCCATTCCTGTGTCATCCACTCAAATGTATAAATTTCTTCTAACCCAATCATTAACCAGTTTCTTTTGCAGGGCGAGGAGCCTGCCATTCCTCCCCAATATGTAACAAAAAGGAAAAATGTGAGTGATTCCAACATCCCATCCTGGACCCTGGCACCGCTTCCTGCTTCCCCTTTCCCACAGCTTGCAGAATTTGTGCTGTTCCGGTTATGCACCAATGAGATGTAACTACGAGTCTTTCCTGAGAACTTCTCCCACCGTCCTCTCCCCTTAACACTTTCCTCAACTTCCAATCTCTCACTCTTGCCAGCCGGTCCTCGATTCTCACTTCTTACCTAGGGAAGGCTTGCTGTACCAGCCTCTACAGTCTCCTGACCTCACTCTTTAGTGGCTGGTAGCTCGCTGTCCAACCTGCATGGTTGCACCATGCAGCCTATGTGGTACTCATTCCTGAGTCCACCCTAGAGGCCAATTGCCTCCCATCCTGCCATCTGGCAGGAGAGGGAATCCCTTACCACCAAAGGGATGCCCATCACCAATGCCTCATTCACTAACTCCTCCTGCCTAATGTTTTCCACTGTTTTTCCTCAAGGAGCCCTTAAGCTCAGGTTGCCTACTCACCAGCTGCAAGGACATTAACCAGATGAGAATTGGCAGATCGATATCACCCATGTGTTCACCCACAAAAGCTTCTCTGAGACCACGTTGACTGCTATCTTCTAGACCTGGCTGCTACCACACCATCGGACCCCGATGCCTCCCTTCTCTAGCCTGGTGACCTGGTCCTCCTCAAGACCCTCCACCCACGCTCACTCCAACCTCAGTGGACCAGGCCTCACTTCGTGACCCTGACCATGCCTGTGACTGCCAAACTCCTTGATCACACTTCCTGGTATCATATTTCTCACCTCAAACATTTTAGTGCTTGTACCAAAGATAAATTGTCTGCCACTTCTTTGACCCACCAACTCTCCTGACTACCTCACTCCTCTCTTACTCTTCTGGACAACAGCTAACCCCTTCCTCTTCATTTCAGCTGGA